TACACTACATATCCCAAGTCAACCAAAAGCAGCATGGACTTGGGATAGTATCCAATTACACTAGATATCCCAAGTCAACCAATAGCAGCATGGACTTGGAATAGAATCAATTACACTACATATCCCAAGCCAACCAATAGCAGTATGGACTTGGGATAGTAACCAATTACACTACATATCCCAAGCCAACCAATAGCAGCATGGACTTGGGATAGTAACCAATTACACTACATATCCCAAGCCAACCAATAGCAGTATGGGCTTGGGATAGTAACCAATTACACTGCATATCCCAAGCCAACCAATAGCAGCATGGACTTGGGATAGTAACCAATCACACTACATATCCCAAGCCAACCAATAGCCGTATGGATTGGGATAGTAACAAATTACACTAGATATCCCAAGCCAACCAATAGCAGTATGGACTTGGGATAGTAACCAATTACACTGCATATCCCATGCCAACCAATAGCATTATGGACTTGGGATAGTAACCAATTACACTACATATCCCAAGCCAACCAATAGCAGCATGGACTTGGAATAGTAACCAATTACACTACATATCCCAAGCCAACCATTAAGAAAAAGGGCTTGGATAGTAACCACCACACCGCATATCCCAAGCCAACCAATATAAGGATGGACTTGGGATAGTAAACCAACACACTACATATCCCAAGCCAACCAACAGTCGTATGGATTGGGATAGTAACAAATTACACTAGATATCCCAAGCCAACCAATAGCAGTATGGACTTGGGATAGTAACCAATTACACTGCATATCCCAAGCCAGCCAGTAGCAGCATGGACTTGGAATAGAACCAATTACACTACATATCCCAAGTCAACCAATAGCCGTATGGATTGGGATAGTAACCAATTACACTACATATCCCAAGCCAACCAATAGCAGTATGGACTTGGGATAGTAACCAATTACACTACATATCCCAAGCCAACCAATAGCAGCATGGACTTGGGATAGTAACCAATCACACTACATATCCCAAGTCAACCAATAGCAGTATGGACGTGGGCTAGTAACCAATTACACTACATATCCCAAGCCAACCAATAGCAGCATGGACTTGGGATAGTAACCAATCACACTACATATCCCAAGTCAACCAATAGCAGTATGGACGTGGGCTAGTAACCAATTACACTACATATATCCCAAGCCAACCAATAGCAGTATGGACATGGGCTAGTAACCAATTACACTACATATCCCAAGCCAACCAATAGCAGTATGGGCTTGGGATAGTAACCAATTACACTGCATATCTCAAGCCAACCAATAGCAGCATGGACTTGGGATAGTAACCCAACACTATCCCGTATGGATTGGGATAGTAACAAATTACACTAGATATCCCAAGCCAACCAATAGCAGTATGGACTTGGGATAGTAACCAATTACACTGCATATCCCAAGCCAGCCAGTAGCAGCATGGACTTGGAATAGAACCAATTACACTACATATCCCAAGTCAACCAATAGCAGTATGGATTTGGGATAGTAACCAATTACACTCGATATCCCAAGCCAACCAATAGCAGTATGGACTTGGGATAGTAACCAATTACACTAGATATCCCAAGCCAACCAATAGCAGCATGGACTTGGGATAGTAACCAATCACACTACATATCCCAAGTCAACCAATAGCAGTATGGACGTGGGCTAGTAACCAATTACACTACATATCCCAAGCCAACCAATAGCAGCATGGACTTGGGATAGTAACCAATCACACTACATATCCCAAGTCAACCAATAGCAGTATGGACGTGGGCTAGTAACCAATTACACTACATATCCCAAGCCAACCAATAGCAGTATGGACGTGGGCTAGTAACCAATTACACTACATATCCCAAGCCAACCAATAGCAGTATGGACTTGGGATAGTAACCAATTACACTACATATCCCAAGCCAACCAATAGCAGTATGGATTTGGGATAGTAACCAATTACACTACATATCCCAAGCCAACCAATAGCAGTATGGGCTTGGGATAGTAACCAATTACACTACATATCCCAAGCCAACCAATAGCAGTATGGACTTGGGATAGTAACCAATTACACTACATATCCCAAGCCAACCAATAGCAGTATGGGCTTGGGATAGTAACCAATTACACTGCATATCCCAAGCCAACCAATAGCAGTATGGGCTTGGGATAGTAACCAATTACACTACATATCCCAAGCCAACCAATAGCAGCATGGACTTGGGATAGTAACCAATCACACTACATATCCCAAGCCAACCAATAGCCGTATGGATTGGGATAGTAACAAATTACACTCGATATCCCAAGCCAACCAATAGCAGTATGGACTTGGGATAGTAACCAATTACACTGCATATCTCAAGCCAACCAATAGCAGTATGGACTTGGGATAGTAACCGATTACATTACATATCCCAAGCCAACCAATAGCAGCATGGACTTGGCATAGCAACCAATCACACTACAAAGCTAACAACCAGTGTGATGTGAATGGAGCCCTGTAATTACCACGAAGGGTAGGGACAGACGATACCAATGACTGAGGACCACAGGGAAGATTTAAAGAAGTGTCAGGACAGTCAGATGGAACTGGTCTGGAAGTGTCATTGGAACAATTGGACAACGACCTGCTGGGAAAACGATAAGACAGGAAAAGGAGGGAGCCACATACATCCTGGACAATCATTACATTCAATTTAATACATAGGACCAAATCATATGGTTTAACACATGGGCACTCCTAACAACACAATATAAAATAGCAGACCATGTGAATTTGCAGGCTATGCCACAACACACTCTTCACACAAAGCTTTTCAGCAAGCTAAAGTGCTTTAGTGGTCTGCAGTGACCCTTTAATTCTCTCTGCTATCACCCCTAAATTCCTCTGCTACCTCTTGCCTTGTCTCCCCAGTTTAACCTTTAGATTGTAAGATCACGGGCTACCTAGGAAAGTACTCTGTATAAAATATCTTCAGGGGATTGATCTCATGGGAAGGGCTCTCTTTACCTTTCGTGTTGGTCTGTTTATATTGTATCGCTGCGGAATACGTTGGCGCTTTATAAATGCCAGTAATAAGTAACAATAATAAGCAGAAAACTCCAAGAATAAGAAACAATTCGAACTTTGTTCTCCAACCAGGATTAAGTTGAAAAATAAAGAATAAGGGAGGGTCTTCTCTTTCTCCAATGTTGAGATAATTATGCGTCCTTCTCAAAAAACACCCTGGTTGGAGATCAAGGCTTCGACTGGTTCTTATTTTTCTATTGATTATGTTCTACTATTATGGACCAGCGCGAAGGAGGAAGTAGACTTGGGAGTCATGCTTTATATATTCTACATTGGATGTGGATTGATTGCAGAGTGTTCCATTTTGGTTTTCTATATTTTCTGATGTCAAGACTAGGAAAATCTTGACTTTTATCCCTTCATGGAAAACTTTACAATACCAACATGTATTCCTGGCACTATAGTTCTGAATGTGCCCACGTCAGCAAGATAAAAGGTTATCCGACTCCCCTTTTTCCCAGTGCCTCACTGGTCTCCTTGCACCTTGCTCTGCATCTGCTTTGTCCCCTTGGCTGAGATCAAACTTTACGATCTCAGCCAATCCAATACTTTTCCATTGGAAAGCATTGGGAGGCGATCATGCGTCCCACTAGAGGTGTTATTGCCACTCAAGGGGTTCCTAGGCAGTAATGTAAACACTGCCTTTCCTCTGTATTGGTTCTGGTGACTATAGTGTCCCTTTAATGCTCTGTGTACTTTATATTTTTGTACATAAGGAGGAACCCTGCACTTGTCATGATAATAGGACGTAGCACCTGGTACCACAAACGCACCATTTTTAGTGTTAAGAGTTTGAATTAATTTCCCAATAGCTGAATAAATTCTACACCTATGAATTAAGGTATGCTGGAGTTTAGGAATATCTGATTGATTAGATCCGGATGGACTTGGCATATGGAGCCCCCATTTGAGCAATCAGGTTCTTTTAACAAATTGGGCAATATTTATTAATATACCTTCCAAACTGTATTTTATCCTGGGCAGTGAGTGGGCAGCGTCCATTATCTTGTCATACTGTTTGGATACTCAATGGCTGAAAACACTACAATATAGGAAATCTAATTTCTTCCGAAGGTTTCTTTACGGGCTAGACCAGGGGTAGGCAACGTATGGCACGTGCGTCTTGCATGGCACTAAAGGTGTCTTTGCACGGCACTCAAGGCTGCTAGAGCAAAACATGCTCTGGCCTATCAGGAGTCCCAGTGATAGTTCAGATATCTGCCAATACGAAAAGGTGGTGAAGGACAATCCTCAATTTATGCACTGCAGCACGTAGAGGAAGTGTTCTCAGATCACTTCCTCCCAGCACTTGTGAATGGGAATCCACACTGTAGTAGAGCAGCCGGCAGCTGCTGTTGCAGCTCCTGTCCTTGACCTGTACCTGGCCAGACTGGAACCTACGCTGCTAGATATACACAGGAATGCAGAATAACCATCCCCCATACAAATATTGCAAACAGCCCACACACAAACATACACACTATCTGCACAAACTCAACACCACTAACAATCCACATACATGCACACAACCCCATATGCAGCCTCTCACATACAATACCCCAAACAGCCCCACACATACACACACTACCGAACACACAACGTGACATTTCCATGCACACATACTATTCCACAAGCAGCCCCCATACACAGCCCCCATTCATTGGTATCATACACTATACCACAAACTACTAATAAACATATACAATATAATAGCACATATACACACAAATACATGTTTCATGCATTAATTCAAAGTCCATTCATGTAATGATACGGTAAAAGCATGGCTTGTTCTGTCAATTCAATGCAGATTGTGCGGCCGGCTTTTACGGATTAATAATGTTGTAAACTGCAAAGTCTAGTTATCTTCACATATGGAGCACACTGTCCATGCTTCCAAATTTCTAGCCATTATTCAGAGGCAGGTTGAATACATTATCGCCTCCATTAGCTTAGGGATGGTGGCTGATATTCGCATAATTTTGACTAATTTCTCAGACTGTAAATAGTTTGTGTGTTGTCTATCCAATCAAGTTAAATCATTTACTTCCTTTGATGGTGTGGGGTGTAATGTCAGCTTGTCACTGCAATGTGTTAGTCCACATGCAAGTTAATGAAAATGGTGTTACATAAGAAAGAACTATTTATTTGGTTACAAGTCGTTGATCTTTGTAATCAGCTTTGGTGATGTTCGGTTTCACAGGGCCAAATGGCAATCTCAGTTAGCAGAGGAAAGGTTCCAAAGGAAACATTTCTTGTGACTAAGTGCTGAATTTTAGTGAAAGACATGTAACGAAGACCATGAAACTAGTCACTAGCGCCTTAATAAATAATAATAATGGATGATGAGGCAGAGGTTTTAGTGATACACAGAGATAATCTTATTACACACCAGATGGAACGTTCATGGTCTTTCAAGGCAGCACTGGATGCAGAAGACAATCAGGTGGTGGAAGGGGAGGGATTAAGAATTTGTGGATTTGTCTAGTTCATCTAAACAACTAAAATAATTAAAGGACCACTATAGTCAACCAGACTACTTCAGCTCAATGAAGTGGTCTGGGTGCCAGGTCCCCCAGGTTTTAACCCTTCACATGTAAACATAGCAGTTTCAGAGAAACTGCTATGTTTACATTGCAGGCTTAATCCAGCCTCTAATGGCTGTCTTCCCAACAGCCGCTAGAGGCGCTTCCGCGGCGCTCAATGCGAAAATTGCATCCAGCGTGCAAAACGTCCATAGGAAAGCTTTGAGAAATGGAGCTGACGTCGGAGGGGGAGGAGAGGTCACCAGCGCCGAGCGAGCCCGTCGCTGGATCAAGGTAAGTGGCTGAAGGGGTTTTAACCTGAGGGTGGGGGGACACTAAAGATTATATAGTGCCAGAAAAACGAGTTTGTTTTCCTGACACTATAGTGATCCTTTAAGCTGAGACTATAGAATTTTTCTAAATAAGCTATTTTTGCAATTTGGTTTACATTTCCTCTCCTGCAACTGTTATTTAAAAAAAAAAGTCTTCAGTGATTACTATTCTACCAATCTACTTCTCTAATAGTATTCTTGCCTTTTGTTTCACTTTACCCCACTCCCTCTAACATGTAAACTCATTAAGCAGGGCCCTCAATCCCTCTGTTACTGTCACTATACCCCACTCACTCTAACATGTAAACTCACTGAGCAGGCCCTCAATCCCTCTGTTACTGTGTCACTATACCCCACTCCCTCTAACATGTAAACTCACTGAGCAGGCCCTCAATCCCTCTGTTACTGTGTCACTATACCCCCACTCCCTCTAACATGTAAACTCACTGAGCAGGCCCTCAATCCCTCTGTTACTGTGTCACTATACCCCCACCCCCTCTAACATGTAAACTCACTGAGCAGGCCCTCAATCCCTCTGTTACTGTGTCACTATACCCCACTCCCTCTAACATGTAAACTCACTGAGCAGGACCTCAATCCCTCTGTTACTGTCACTATACCCCACTCCCTCTAGCATGTAAACTCACTGAGCAGGCCCCTCAATCCCTCTGTTACTGTGTCACTATACCCCACTCCCTCTAACATGTAAACCCACTGAGCAGGCCCTCAATCCCTCTGTTACTGTGTCACTATACCCCACTCCCTCTAACATGTAAACTCACTGAGCAGGGCCCTCAATCCCTCTGTTACTGTGTCACTATACCCCACTCCCTCTAACATGTAAACTCACTGAGCAGTGCCCTCAATCCATCTGTTAGTGTGTCACTATACCCACTCCCTCTAGCATGTAAACTCATTGAGCAGGGCCCTCAATCCCTCTGTTACTGTGTCACTATACCCACTCCCTCTAACATGTAAACTCACTGAGCCGTCCCTCAATCCCTCTGTTACTGTGTCACTATACCCCACTCCCTCTAACATGTAAACTCACTGAGCAGGGCCCTCAATCCCTCTGTTACTGTGTCACTATACCCCACTCCCTCTAACATGTAAACTCACTGAGCAGGCCCTCAATCCCTCTGTTACTGTGTTACTATACCCCACTCCCTCTAACATGTAAGCTCACTGAGCAGGGCCCTCAATCCCTCTGTTACTGTGTCACTATACCCCACTCCCTCTAACATGGAAACTCACTGAGCAGGCCCTCAATCCCTCTGTTACTGTGTCACTATACCCCACTCCCTCTAACATGTAAATTCACTGAGCAGGCCCTCAATTCCTCTGTTACTGTGTCACTATACCCCACTCCCTCTAACATGTAAACTCACTGAGCAGGGCCCTCAATCCCTCTGTTACTGTGTCACTATACCCCACTCCCTCTAACATGTAAACTCACTGAGCAGGGCCCTCAATCCCTCTGTTACTGTGTCACTATGCCCCACTCCCTCTAGCATGTAAGCTCACTGAGCAGGCCCTCAATCCCTCTGTTACTGTGTCACTATACCCCACTCCCTCTAGCATGTAAACTCACTGAGCAGGTCCCTCAATCCCTCTGTTACTGTGTCACTATACCCCACTCCCTCTAACATGTAAACTCACTGAGCAGGGCCCTCAATCCCTCTGTTACTGTGTCACTATACCTCACTCCCTCTAGCATGTAAACTCATTAAGAATGGCCCTCGATCCCTCTGTTACTGTGTCACTATACCTCACTCCCTCTAGCATGTAAACTCATTAAGAATGGCCCTCAACCCCTCTGTTCCTGTGTGTCAAACTTGTCTGTTAGTCAACCCATTGCACAGAGCTGCAGAATTTGTTGGTGCTATAAAAATAATAATTTCACCACGTATCTTATTTGGTGAATAATCCCCAGAGTCTGTGTTTTTAAATACAGAATGAATGGGCAGGGCCGAGTTCATAAGGTGAATATAAAACCTGACCAAAAAATAAAATCGCCAAATCTGACTGCCGTGTAGACCTCCTATACAAAATAACAAGTCTCTGCACCTTGAACCTGAACACAGATACTTATAATGATGATGATAATATATTTAATCAGCAAACAAACATTTTGCTTTTGCAAGTTTCCAGTTATTTAAAATAAAAATAAATGTACACACACACACATATATATATATATATATATATAAATAAATAATGTTATTGTTATTTTTCATTTATATACTTTGCTGTTTATTATATAAATTAACATGAAGGGACAGTCTAGGCGCTGTAATGGTTATAGTACCTTGGTGCTGTTCCTGCTTAAAATTTAAACCCTTCTGCAAGAGGTGTGACACTTACTTGGGTCCTCCAGATCCAGTTCGACTTTAGATTTATCCAAAAGGACCCACAGAAAAAGGGTCGTTTTTACCGCGATCATGGTTTTTTTTTTTACCGCGAGCACGCTTTTTGAAAAGGGGACTCCTCATCCTAACCACTAAAGCTCTCCTTCTTTAACCCCTGCAGTGGTGGCTGATACATGAGTACAGCGCTATTGACAGAATGCCCAAGCACACATACCACTGCGACATTGCCCTATAGATGCCTGGGCAAAAGTTCCTTTTTAATACCCAACTTAAAGGGCTACTCTGGGCACCATGAAAATGTTATTTCAATGAAGTTGTTATGGGCGCAGCCTTACTTTATTTTGCAAACGGTTTCACCCCATTCTGCAGACAAAGCTCGGCCCCTCTTCCTTCTCTTGATCCAATGCAGAAATAAATGGCCAGAGATAAGTTGAGAGAATCAGCCTATTACTGGAAACCAAAGGCAAGGCTTCCGCACTGGAGCTTATTTACCCTAATAAGATAAGAGGGTCCAGGACCTCTAGGCGACATACTGGTTTCAGTGAGGTGAAGTTGTTATGGTGCCCGGATTATCCCTTTGATGTTGTGCATTCTATCGACACAGAAAGAAAGGAATCAAACTAACTGTTATTTACTAAAGTGAGAATTCAAAGTCAAGTTTAAAACAGCCAAACCAACAAACTGGAAACATGCTCTAAAAATGCTCTAATTTTGGCTGCTCTGGTCTTAAGTTTGAAATTCACTTTGAATTGTCACTTTAGTAAATATCCCGGAGACGCTGACATACGGCAGCAGAGTCCTTAGAACGAGAAAGGACTATATTTGTTAGTGAGTGTGAGAGAATGGTCGGGGTACCTGAGAGTTCACAGACTGGCCCATTGGTATCCGAGAGCACTCCAGAGCATACTGCTTGACACAGAAATAACAGCCCTGTGAAGACAGCAAGAGAAGTGTGAGCTGTGAGTGGACATCACTGCATGGATCAGACAAGCTTTAAACATTTCATTACTACCTGGAAAGAAAGCTCCATCAGCACTATGCCCCCTGGGAGCGCCCTCTGCAGGTGATAAGTGGTAACCGTAGAACTAGAACTCTGTAACGTAGAAAAAAAACAAAACAAAGATTCTGTTGAGGGGGTGAAAGAATCCTGGGTGTATTCTCACAGCACCTCCCAGGATAGAAACTCACCTTCGGACTCCCATCATTCTTTGTCTTTGAGGCTCGGTTTTCTGCTGCTATGGACGTTGGTGTTGCTCTTATTCGAGCTGTACTGTAAATACATAATAATTACATGGTATAACCAGTAGACATGAAATCAGCCTTCCATGGAGACCGATGGGTTATTTACTAAAGGCAGAATTGTTGGCAATTCAAAATGAGTTTCACATGTAAGGCCAAACTAGCGGAAATGGAAGCATCACTTTTTCCAGTTTGGCTATTTTGGTCTTACATTTGAAATTCTCTTTCAAATTCATTTTGAATTCCCAGCAATTCTCACTTTAGTGAATAATTCTGTAAGAAAGGGGATTTTTATTATTATTTTATTATTTATATAGCGCCAGCAAATTCCGTAGCGCTGTACAATCTCTGTGTGGTCATTTTCAAGCCACCAGGTAAACTTAAAGAAGAGGGAGGAGAAGACTGGATGCTAGAAGGGTATGGTGACATACTATTCTTCCTCGTGTCTTTACCCTTTCCTCAGAGATTGTAAGCTCGTCTGAGCAGGGCTTTCTTCACCTCTTGTTTCTGTCAATTACATGTTGTCAGACATCCCCTTTTGTAATGGTAAAGCGCTGCTGAATATGTTGACGCTATGTATAAATGATGGAAAAAAAATAGTGAAGAACCAAAGTGACTGCCCTGAATTACATCCCAAAACACTGTGGCCTGGAGATAGCTATTCTCCGTATGGTTATGTTTCTGAAAAGTCTGGTCCATCTTTTTATCCATACCTGCGGGCCGGAGAGGC